TTCACCCCAAACAATGATAAAACCTTACAGTAATCTCACAAAATCATGTATTCCATAAGTATGTAATCATGTCAGTGCAATTTAGACAAGTCCAATGGATTCATAGACCCAGAAAACATGGGGTTAGACACCAAGATTACTTGGCTAGGTCAAATAATGAAGGAGTTAGGATATTTTAAGGGCTTCCTGCACATCTTGGACACCATCTTGAAAATTACACTTTCTAGTGGTCAAACTTTGGTAAACTTTTAGTATGTTATTAAGGACACCTAATACTACAAAAAACAGCTGAGAAACCTTTTGTTAGAATTTTTTTAGGGTTAGGTGTTTTTTTTTTCATATATTCAGCCGCCTAAATGTTCCCGAGCGAAATATGGATCCAGAAAGAGGTAAAAGACTGTGAAGCTTTGGGAGCGCTGATGGAAGCCATCTACTGCATCTTTGCTTTGATAATATTACTGAATATGATCTAGATGTAGTATTTGATACAAATGCAATTTTCTCAGCTTTTTGCTCAAAATGTTGCTTTTTTATGAAGCCTGCCTGCATTGAAGTGTTGATAAAAAAAAAAGAATGCTTGAAGCTAGAATAATACAGATTTTTTTTTTTCAAAAGTAGAGGGTTGGTTCTTTATTTTGATGTGTTGCATGTTCAGATATTCATGCAACAAAAATATTCTGGGGGCCATGAAATTTTAGTGAAAATCATCAAAAATGCTGGCGGTGGCTGTCAACTTTTTTCAAAAACACTGGCGAGGAAAGAGTTAATGAGGTTTGCAGCACACGCATGTCGCCGTGGTAACGCTCACCTTGGCCGTGTCCGTGTTGTCCATCACCATGTACATGAAGCTGAGGTTGACCAGGTCCGTCCCGCTGCACATGCAGATGATGCGGCCGTCCAGATCCGCCTCGCTCTTCCCCGCCGCTTCCAGAGACGCCAGGATCTTTGGGTCCTTCAGGATCCACACGCAAACATCAACTCAACACGTTAGTACCGGTTCAGTTCATGCAGAAACTTACAATAACCTTCATAACAGATCAACATGATCAACTACACTGGACTGAAATGGAGGCTCTGGACGTTGAAGCTGTTTGTGTGTTTATGGCATCATCAGGTCAAATCTACTGAATCCCAACACATGCGTCTGATTCATTTAGAGTACACTGCAAAAAATTATTTTCTTGCTTCGTAGTTTTGTCTTGTTTTCTAGTATAAATATCTAAACATTCTTGAATCAAGATGCATTTACTTGGCAAGTAAAATGATTTAAGATATTAAGGCTTGTTTTCTAAAAAAAATTATCAAAACTTTGTTAGTTTTTGTTTAAAACAAACAAAAATATCTGCCAAAGGGGTAAGAAAAATCATCTTAGTTGAAAGGCTAAACAAGGTTATTTTTCTTGCCCCATTGGCAGATATTTTTGCTTGTTTTAAGGAAAAACTAACAATGTTTTGATTTTTTTGTATAGAAAACAAGACATAATATTTTAAGTAATTTTACTTGTACAGTATGTCAAGTCAAGTATTTATCAAGCGCTTGTAACAATACAGATTATGTCAAAGCAACTGTACGGCATTAATTAGGAAAATAGTGTCAATAATGCAAAATGACAATAGTAAACACTCAATTTTCAGTTAAAGGCATCAGGTAAATTCATCTTGAGTCAAGAATGTTTAGATATTCATACTAGAAAACAAGACAAAAATACTAAGAGAATAATTTTTTGCAGTGTAGGGCTGGGCAATAAAACGATAACGATAATTATCGTAATATAATTTTCCTTGATAAAACGATAACAAGAGTTAGATAAATGTTCTTTATAATGCTTATGCTCCAAAAGCAGAACGAAACAGCGCGACTCATTTGAAGCGCGACACACAGACGTTTATCCGCTCGCCTCAAAGTTCATTCACCCGTACTTCCACATGACAAATGTCCATCTGAACACAAAGAAACGGTGTGTTTTTGTGCCAGCAACATCATGCTCGTGGTTCGATTCCCAAAAGAAACCTATGAAGCGATACACACTGTAATAATGTGATGGGAGATGTAAACGTGTCTGCAGACGCTCGCTAACGTGGCTAAACACACATCACCTCCTGCTTAACAAACAGCTGAAGCAGGTTACCATTAGGTCCTGTAAACATGAGCAGCCTCCACAAACACACGCTCAGGTAAACGTTCCTGCTGCGAACACCTGACCGCAGAAGACAAACACTGCAGACGGGCGCGGCTGCGCAGCCACACTCTCTCACACACACACACACACACACACACACACTCAGACTCAGACTCACACTCACACTCACAGACACACACACACACACACACACACACAC